AATTTATATAAGTTACTGTGCAGCTCATCAATTTATTTCCTGCATTTGGAAAGACCAATTGAATCTGGAAGTGAACTGGACTCCAGGCATCATGTACAAGCCAAGGATATAAGATTTATAGATTTAGTTCCAAATGTAACATGCTCCAAGAAATAGAGGCTGGGTGACAGCTTCCAGATAAACATATAGATGGATGATTTGAGACTAACTGGAGAAAATAAGACATATATTTTCTACAAACTGTTCAATTAAATGCAAGTTCTGGTCAGTTGTATTTTCAGTATAAGTGAGTATCAACCAAAGACTTTATTGGCTTCCATTCCAATATAATCATTTTTAAATGCTTGAGCCCATTTTCCAGCATTGGGGGTGGGGAGAGAAGCATTAGATATTTCTGCTCTCTGAGGGATGCATAAAATCTTGGAGGTATCCGATTATACATTTTCATACTCCAGAACTTAAAATGGGTGTGAATGATGGGGAAAGAGTAGGAAACTGGCTAAGGTATGTACAGAGCTCAGGGTCCCTCATGAAAGTCATCTAATTTAGTTTAAAGTCAGGGTGCAAAAGTGTGGTTATTGTTTCCCTGCTTTTAAGAAAAGTGACAATTTGGTTTAGTTAGGTTCCAGGTCACCAAGATAAAATTAGACATAAAAGTTGTCAAAAAGACACAAGATGCCTAAAACAGTGAGTTTCAAATTGAAATAACCCAAAGATCTTAAATCAGGGCATTCAAGTGACCTCTGTCCTCCACTGGTTATAACTTTTCTAGGAGAAATTGAATAAGAAAGTATATGCCTCAAAGGTCGATGAAGGAAGCGTTCACCCAAGGACTTAAATAATTTAATTAGATATCATTACCAAGGGTAGCAGATAAAACGTTTTGTCAGTTGGTGTTTGACCTAATCTAAAAGAATTTTCCTTCTTCAGAGGTGTGCAGGCATTTGAGAGGCTGAGAATTTGAGGATTTTGAAATCTTGCCAGGAGAGCTTGACAGGTCCAAACCAGGGCAGTATGGGAGAATTGTTCTTTGTGGCAGTCCAGTTCTGCTCCTTCTACTGGTACATGAGAGTGACCTGCAATGGTGAGTAGGTCACATTTCTTTTCTTCTCCTTTTCTTATGTGTTGGAGTCTCTAACAATCTCTTTGGCATAGCCAGTCTCCAGGAAGGCAAGTGAAAGCTATTAGTCATAAAGAAGTTAGGTGGTGCACATAATTGCAGGTACCAGGACTAAGATAGGAAACATTTTGGGCTCAGTTTTCCAGGAATCTTTTAATGATAATTCTGGGATGAGACCTTCAGCACAATCTTCAGAGGTTAGGCCCAGACCAAATGAAAAATAGTTTCCTCAATTTAGATGCTGAGTAGCCTTTAAGTGTGAGAGGGAAATTGTCATCAATTTTAATTTTGTGGATCCAAACATAGTACTAATTGAGGCAAGGTCTTGGGTTCAATTTCAATGTCTCAGTAAGCCTAACACCATTTCAAAACAAGTCTGTGCCATAGTCGTAAATTTATCACCCATTTTTAGTCAAATGGCTCATCGATTTATTCTGCTGGGCTCATGAGGGTTGAGTGATAGAATTTCTAACTCCTGTTTCGATACTGGAGAAACAAAATACACCCTGTGATTCATTAGGCATGATAGACATGTATAAAGATGGAAAACATTTATTTAACAAAATTTAATATTTAATCACAGGAGCAGTATGTTTTATAGAATTCTAAGAGCAACAGACATATTTAGGTTGCATAACTGTGGATATAATAGCATCTGCCGAGAAAGAGTGAGGTTGTGAGTTCAATTCCAGGTACAAAAAATATAAAAAGATGACATAAGATCAACTATTTCTACGTAAAACAAATTCTTCCTTCCACGTGCAGTCTTCCCTTTTTAGATAGTCCACCTATGAATCGCCCATGTGCAGACAATTGGGAGCTAACTATACTCCCAAATGTACCAATTTAAAATATAACAGGCACAAGCCTGGCTTCATGTAGCCATTTGATTCTTTTCTTCATGCACTCTCATTCAGTGAGATGATGTACCAGGGTGGAGGACATCCAGAGCGAAGTTCCTTCTTGGAGTGATTTGAGAAGTGGAGCCAAACACAGCATTAAGTCTCTCCAGTGATGAGGACACTGCTACAAAGGCAGACCATCATCTCTTCCATCTCTTATATTCTTTTGCTTCTTCGTGAGTGCCCATAACTTTCGTATCCATACATTTACCTTTTGTGTGTACTTAGCCTGTTTGAGGGACTGAGTAAGGTAGAGAATGAGACAAAAGGATAGGTTTGGGAGGACATGCCGTAGATAGGCATAGTCATGAAACCTTCTTTCTCCCAAATGCTTAAGGCCAAATGAAACTCGAATCTCAGAGGTTAGAGAAATTCCATCCCTTACCAAGCCCCTCCTATAGCCCACATGAATCTCCAAAAGTGGATGGAAAATAGTGGATTGCTATTACTCTGATAAGTGTTTTCTTTTCATTTCATCTATGAAAAATTAGTGAATTCTATCCCATTAGAGTTAGAAGAATCATTAGGCATCACCTGGTTTAACCAGATTGCAAGATGAAAATTTAGGTCAAGTGAGGGTAAGAAACTTCTCTAGAGATGTTGCCAGAGACAAACAGCAGCTTTAAGAAAGGGATTAGAAAAAGAAAAGAGAGTTAGTCTCATGAAGGAGTACATATATGTTAAGAAGTGCTTGGCATATAAATTGCAATAGCAAAGAAACAGGTGGATGGAAAAAGAAATTACCTTTAAATATGGAACAGTGCCTTTCACACGTTCATTTGTTGAAGAATTATTGACCACCTACTATGAACAAGGTGCTATTCCAGGTTTAGGGCATAAAGTAATGAAAAAGAAAACAGAAAAAAAAATCCCCAATTGACTTTGTATTCTTTCTAGTTGATAGAGGCAATAAACAATTAATAGAGAAAACATACAGCAAGCTAGAGGTAATTTTATGAATAAAATAAGCAGGGAAAGAAGGATGCAAATATCAGGGGATAAAGATGAAATGCTAGACAAGATGACTCAGGAGCGACTCACTGAAAAGATATCTTGTGAGTAAAGCAAGACTTAAGCCATGCCAGGGTGTTGGGTTTCATAAATATGGATACCAATTGTTTCATAACTATACAACAGCATGATCAAAGACTCTGAGAAGTTCATGTGTTGTGTTTTAAAGAACAATAAGATGGCCAATGTCACTGGACCAAAGAGAGCAAGGAAAAGTACTAGGAAATAGAATAAGAGAGGTAGGTAATGGGGAAGTAAATCATATAAGATCTTGTGGGTCATAGCAAGGAGACTGGCATTTAATGATGTTTGAATGGGAAGTTACAGTTAACAGTATGGTATTACATACTTGAGAATGTGTTGAGAGTACATTGTGCCTTGGAGGTCAGGGGTTTGGATTAGCTTTTTGTGCAGTACTGGAGATTTATCCCGGTGTCTCATGCAAACTAGACAAGAATTCTACAGCAGACCCAAAAGGTAGAATTTTTTGTTAAATATTCTTATCACAAAGATAAGAGAAAAAGGAAAGTTTCACAGGTGATAGTAAAACTTGTAGCAGTGTGGGAGTTTGGGCTGTGTAGTGCTGGGAATGGAACCCCAGCATCTTGAACATGCTAGGTGAACACTCTACCACTGAGCTTCATCCCTTACCCTTACTTCATTACTTACGATGACTATTTCATGGGTGCATGTTTATCTTCACACTCATAAAGATGTATACATCAAGCATGCATATAGTTATATCTCCATCATGGTTCAAGAAAAAAAAAGAAAAGTTTTAAGAGACAAATGATCTGATCTAATTCATAATTTAACTTCATCCTTTAAACTGAATAGAGGTAAGATAGACAATGGGAGAACCAGTAAAGAAGTTGTTGACTAAATCCATGTCTGTGATGGATAGTTCTTAGAATAAAAGATGGTCATGCAGGTGTCAAGAGCAGTGATGGGTTCTGTATAGTACTCGTGAGGGCTTGGAATTGCATATATTCATTTCATATCTATATGATCCCTATAATTCCCCCAAGCACTGTCCTAAGTGTTAGAGATACTTCAGCAAACAAAGTAGGCAAGGTCCCTGCCCTTAATAAATTTGCCTATTGGAGGGGAATACAGATAATAAGCTAATTGTTAATATAATTTAAAATATTATAAAAAGCTATAAAAATAAATTGGAGTGAATTGAAACATAGCAGTGAGGGTGAGAAAAATGAGACTTTTTCCGTAGGTTGGGCACTCAAACCCTCCTCTTACCACTGATGCTTTCATAAACATCACATTAGATTTTCACACTCTTAACTAGGGCTGAGCAACCATAGCACATAAAGTACATGAGAATCTATAAATGTAACTTTAATGGCGGGACATTAGCAGGGACTTCACCTTAGCACACACCTTCACATTAGCACACACCTTAAAGGTTCAAGGAACTTGTCCCTTTATATAATACTGGTTCAGGTCAAAGAAATAATTTGCAGTACTCTATGTCAGACACCGTGGCTGATCCTGATGCTGTGGTAAATGGAGGCTGTATAGTTAGGAGTTAGCCCAAGAACAGGCAGAATTTAAGTGAAACAGCTCCTCTGTTAGCTAAAGATAACTGTTTCCAATTTGTCTTGGAAAAAGGAACACGTGTGCAAGAATCAGGAAGACGGCCTCCCTTTATTCTCTTCTTACTGAGACAAAATATCCAAGAAGGCACCTGGAGGGGGAAAGTTGGAGAATTTCATAAAATTGCATTCAAAGGGATAGAAAGCTTTGCATTCCCCTGATGGCAAGGAGGATAGCTGTTTTCATTCTAGAAATTCCATTTGTATAGTGTCTCTTCTGAATAGGACAAAGATAAAGATCTTGCACACCCCAATTCTATCCACCTTTCCCACATCTCCTATCTTTCTTCTGCTTCTCTTAGGGGACACTAGGCAGCCCAGCTGACTCCTGTTCAGTGGACTGTGGCGAGGAGAAGGATGGCCACTGGCAATGCCTCGGCAGTGTTTGAGTTTCTCCTTATTGGCATCTCTAACTATCCCGAGTGGAGAAGCACATTTTTCATATTGGTGCTGATAACGTACCTCAGCACATTACTGGGAAACGGACTTATCATCTTGCTTATCCACTCTGATGCTCACCTCCACACACCAATGTACTTCTTCCTCAGTAACCTGTCTTTCTTAGACCTTTGCTATGGAACAGCCTCCATGCCGCAGGCCTTAGCACATTGTTTCTCCAGCCATCTCTACCTCTCTTACCCACGATGCTTGATCCAAATGAGCGTCTCCTTGACCTTGGCCACAGCAGAGTGTCTCCTCCTGGCTGCCATGGCCTATGACCGTGTGGTTGCCATCATCAATCCCCTGCGCTATTCTGTGGTCATGAGTGGCTCAGTATGTGTCTGGCTGGCTGCCACCTCATGGGGAGCATCGCTCGTGCTCACTTGCATGCTTGTCTTATCCCTGAAGCTTCGCTTCTGTGGGGCTAATGTCATCAACCATTTCGTCTGTGAAATTCTCTCCCTCATTAAGCTGGCCTGTTCTGATACCAGCCTTAATGAGCTGATGGTCCTTGTCACCAGTATCTTTACCCTGCTCCTACCATTTGCGTTTGTGCTCCTATCTTATGTCCGAATTTCTGCTGCTGTCCTGAGCATTCGCTCAGCACAGGGAAGGCTCAAGGCCTTTTCCACTTGTGCGTCACACCTGACTGTGGTGACGATCTTCTACGGCGCAGCCATTTCCATGTATGTGAAACCTCAGTCTAGGTCGTCCCCTGACCAGGACAAGTTTATCTCGGTGTTTTATGGGGCTTTGACACCCATGCTGAACCCCCTGATATACAGCCTGAGGAACAAGGATGTTAAAGGGGCAATGAGGAGAGTTATGGCAAAAATGGCATACGCTTCCTTCACCACTAAAACTCTAAAATAACAGTCATGTATTCACTGATGGGGAAAAGTGTTTAAAGGAATGTGAGTTTACCCTTGGAAGCAAAGATGATTGATATGTGAAACGTTTCAGCAAGTGCTCCTACCCCAGAATATTCCTACTGAGATTTGAATTTCCATTAGAGATACTGCTTGTGCTCGTTCTTTCAGACGATGATGTTAGTGGTCATCCATTAGGTTACTTCCCTTGAGGTAAATGAGCTATTTAGTATCATTTGCTCACTGACAGAAGGAATCTCATGATTGTCAGCAGCAAGCAAGGCATAAAGGAAACTGGAAAATAGGACAAAGAAGGCTGTAATAAAAGATCAGAAGACAAAGGCCAGAAACCTTACTGAGGACAAGTCTTCTCATGTGAGCACAAACTGCTTGCTCCACTGACCCTCAGAATTATGGGAAAGTTCTAGCACAGCTGTTTCCCGCAGTTTATAAGGAATTTTTCTATTTTTAATTTTTCTGAGCTATTAATTGCTTTTAGCCCTAATATCTCTATGAATTGATAATAAAGACAGCACCATTTCCCCCATACCTCCATATTAACAATGAGGAAATAGAGACTCAGAGAAAGTGTTGAAACCTTTCTGAAGTCATGCACAATTAGCAGTAAAGTCAAATTAGAACTCAGATCATATCAATGCCACATCGGAACTTTTTCAAATAGTTCTATGATTTGAAAAATATTAGAAATATAGATAATGTTTATTGAACACTCACCATATGCCAGATGCTTATTTAAGCTGTCTGAGCAATGATTCAGTGAAATATTACTATTTTCAACCCATGATGAAAAAGAACAAACAGAGGCTCATAAGGGTCTAAGAGAGTTGCCCACGACTACAGAGCCAGTTAAGAGAAGGGCCAATATTAATGTTAAGTCTGGTTGATTTCAGGTCCTATGTACTACAGCTGAACTATGAGAGACCCTAGAACCGTTATATATAGTGACTTTTCATCAATTTTATTGTGATATAATTTATGAATATATGTTATCCAATTACAGTGTGCAGTTCTATAATGTTTGACAAATGACCACAGAAAAACTATGTTGGTCAAGCGACTTTACAATTCCATTACTCCCAAAAGCTTTTTGTGCCCTTTTTTCATCCATCCTTTCCTCCATTCCCAACTTTCAGAAAGCACTGATTTCATTTCTTTGGCTGTAAGTTAGTTTTCATTTAATAAGACTACCTATAAATGGAATCATATAATATGTCCTCATTGTGTCTGGCTCGTCTTTCTCAGCCTACTGCTGAGACCCACCCATGTTGTTACAGGTATACGAAATGTGTTTCTATTTTTAGATAATGTACTGTTGTATAAATGTACCATCTCTTTTTTAAAATTTTATTCCTGTTGATGGACATAATGCAATAGCTTTCAAACTATAATTTTCATAGTCCTATGGCTTCAGTTGTGGTTCCTGGAGCCTAGTAACAGGGATAAAGTTTTCTGTGAATTATTTCATTAGAAAAGCCAGGCTTGAGGTGAAAGGAAAGGGGTTCGAAATTACCAGTCTTTCTTAAGATCATGAAACAATTTAGAAGCATATCTGAGGCAGAGACTCACATGTTCTGCTTCTGGTCACAGTTTAGTTAAGGCAGTTCCACAAAACATGATGAAGTCACCTTCCAAGGGCCTGAGAAGGAGCTAGAAACAAACAGGTAAAAAAAAACAAACTGTACAAAACATCTACGTGTGAGGCAAGGAACTACTGGACATGCTGGTCCTGAGTGCATCCCTCTCCTTCCAGTGGCTGGGGTTCAGGGTGATCTTGCATAGTACTGCAAAGGGAGTCTCAGGCACACCCAGGGAGTGTTGTTCACTAAATGAAAAAAAGACAATAAATAAACCACTTGTCAAAACAATTTTATTTCAAAATAAATGCATTATATGGTCAAATTTTGTCTAGTATGCATTGTATTCCTAGTTTATTATTATTTTAGTTGTAACAATTTATTGGAGCCTGTGTGATAATTTGATACATGTGCACAGTGTGTAATGATCAAATCAAGGCCCGGTGGATCCAACTCCATATACTTTCAAGCCCCTTGTGTAAACAGCACTACTCTCATCCGTGTTATCATTTTTTAAAGCTTTGATTAACACTTAATAATGGTGCATGCTATGAATTAAAAACTGGTGGTCAGATTAACACCAACTGAATTAAATCAGCATGGTGCTGAGCGTAGATGACTCACCTGAGGAAAGTTGCCAGCATATATAGGGATGTGAAGAAGAAGTAGGCGTTGTGGGTTTCTCTAAGTGTTGCTGTTTGAGCCATTTGCTTTCCTGGAGGAACTCATTATGACTAGCTTCCCCAGTGTGAGTTCGACTATTGTCATCAGAGGAGCTTGGGACCCTGTTGGTGAGAGTGGCTTTGGGGGAGCTCTAGTCCTCACATTGAGCATCACTTCCTGGCTCTGGAGGGGAAGACATGTGCCATTTAATCTACAGAAAAAACTCATCACGCCGGCTTTCTGCATGTACTCGACTGTTCTCATCGTTGGAGGAGCTCGGGACCCCTGTGTCACTGAGGATGGCTGTGGTACTTTTCAGGGAAGCTCTGGTTGGTCCTTTTCTGAGCATCACTTCTCGGCTCCACTGTAGAACCCTCAACCTACAAACACAGGTCCTTCACCCCACTGCAGACTTTCTAACTTCCACTGCTAACTTTTGAGGTTCTCAGAGCAGATCCGTAAAACAGACTGGTGTGAGTCCTTCTCATGGGCTCTAGTCCTCCAGCTGGACTCCTGGGAGACATTGTCATGGGCTCTAGGTTTTCATCTGGACTCATGCAGGACATTAGTGTGAGATCCATGCCCTTGGTTAAATATTCTGTGTCTTTAGTGTTGTGGATAGATTTCCTGCACTGTCATGTGTTTGACTCTGGTTGACCATCATAAAACAATATTATAAATTCTGTGTCCTGATTGTAATTGTTCTCTTCACAACCCCTGACTACAACAATGCATATTCATTATAAAAAGGTACATATTTATGAGTTACAGTGTAATGTTTCAATACATGTATGCAATATATATTGATTATATCTGGGTAATTAACATTTATATCTCATCATTATTGTCTTTATAGCTATCAAGCTTCTCTCCTACTTATTTATAAAATATAACATAATAAGCTACTGTGACCACAGTCCCATAGCTGTGCTGTGGAACTCTGTAACTTATTCCTTGCACCCAACTGCGTTTGACTGTTTTGCAACCGCCGTTTATTCCCCCTCAGCCAATCCTCTAGTAATCACTGTTACACATTCAGATTAACTTTCTAAAAAGTCTGTTATACATTTTTAAAGCATCAGTAGAGTAGTTTTGGGTCCCCAGTGAATCAAAATCTGTGCATTTTCAACTCCCTTAAGTAAAATGGCACATTGTTAAGCATATAACCCACACCTATGTACTTTATCTCTAAGATTACTTATAATTGCTAATACAATGCAATTGCTATGTAAATAGTTGTTATATTTTAATGTTTAGAGAACAATAACATGAGGAGAGCATCTGTACATATTCAGTACAGATGCATTTTTCCCCAATATTGCAATCCACAAATGATTGAACCCATGAATATGGAACCCACAGATATAGAGGGCTCACTTAGCCCTTGAAACCATATCTTAATATCAAAAAAACAACTAAGGAGAATAGAAAGAATTTGATCTTTAATGTATTCACCAAAGAAATATTAAATTTTCTGCTTTCATGCAAGAACTGTGCTAGGTTCTAAAACAAGTTTCATATTTTGTACCACTGTTCCTTACTGCTGAGATAAATTTTACAAATTATTACTGTGAAATGAATACAGATTTTTTAAATTGGTCAAACATTAAAGAAATCAAAGAAATCTTTCAGGTAGAGAAAAACTCAGAAATTAGGAATATTAAGACTTATTCAACGATCCTAATTGGTTTCACTCATCATTACAGGTCATTTTAGAATTTAAAATAAGAGTCATAATTTCCCTAATGGTGCTCTTACCACAAAATGGTATGTATGTCACTAGATGTTTTATCTCTTGATTGACTCAGTGATAAAGGTACAGCTTACAGATAGTGTGACATGGTCACAGCCTGAGTTTATGTGCAGTAGAATTGATTCTGCTACAAACTAGCCATGTAACATTACTTATATCATTCACTGCCCTTCATATTTGTTCCTCAATGTAACAGGAAACTTGTGTTTAGTTAGCCAAGACTTCTATAGTTCTAGCATTCTATGTCTAGTTGTTATTTTCTATAGGTTTTCTTCTTTCCTCTAAGAAGATGGAATCATATCATTAATTTATTCTGCAACTTGCTTCTTCCACTTGACAAGATAGCATGAACATATATCCAAATCAATATATAGAGATATATCTCCATGACTTTAAATGTTAGCTTTGACTGAAAAAGTAGACAAACACAACAGCTAGTTAACATGGCTTCTAGCTTTAAAAATCTGTTTTGAGGCATTTTAACTCCAAAAACTATCAGCTTACACATTGATATTAATATATTTCAAATACAGAAATGAGCTCTGTGACAGGATGTGAAAGGAAATCAAAGTTGGTTTTGGAAAATTCTACATTGAATATTGCTCCCTTATTTGACCAATCACAGGGATCCTGAGAAGCCCTCCTCTGTGGCCACACCCAATCTCCATTCCAGGCAGCTGGCCAGTGAAGCTGTCTCACTTTACCCTGGAAACTGAGATGGAAAGATTTGCTCGAAAATAAGATGGTTTTATCCAGACTAGAAAGTTTGTAAACTGAAAAATGGGGTTCCAAATGACATTTTCCACTGCAATATTCAAAGTGATTTAAGAAAATGACTTCTAGTTTCCCGAATTTGAATTTTCAGTAGAAAAGAGACAGTAGAACACAACTACGCGGAGAATGCCCTGCAGCAAAATGGTTGGATTCGGTCCTTTGTTTTGCCACTGTTCTTGGCTTTGGTCTCTTGCACTAAAGTAGAGCTGGTAGTAAAAC